GGTTGCCCCTATAATTTATTGTGTGGAGGAAGTAATCTATATTTATTCAAGCCGGGACAAAGGATCAGAAAAATCATGGATTATAGTTTTGATTGTCACTTTTGCTTTATGGGCCTCAGTTTTTTTTACATGGGATCACTTTTTCTCAACTTCTTGGGGGCTTGGTGACAGAAAACACCCATGTGGACAGAGACATAAGAGGGGCTCATGTATTAACCAGATACTCTCACAGTGGGGAACAATGGAGAAAAAATGTTTACACTCAATGCACTATCATGCTTCCAACCCCTCACCCTACCAGGTCCAACATAAACTGGTGGAATTTTGCAGCTAATTGGTTTTTCCTCTATCTTTTTTCCTTTCCATATTGACTCCTCTTCTTTCTCTTTGAATTTCATGTGCTCAGAGTTCTGGGGCCCAGACCCTGGGTGGGCCCCAATAGCTACTCCCTCTGTTTCCGCATTCTCCCTCCAGCTTTGTTGCTTCCTGCTACCTAATCTCAGTGACTGTGAAAGGACTTCGCATCTGAACCATGTTCAAGCCCCTGGCTGGTCCCCTACCCCACCCCCTATTTACTGTATGGATGGTATTCTCCCCACTGAATGACTGACTGTAAAAATCTGAGTGCTATTGGGTTTTTTGGTGAGAGGCTGTGTTAGGTTCCCATGAGCTGCCACTTCCCTAGATACATCAAGAAACTGATAGATGGGAGGATAAGGACACATATGTAATACCTTAATCAATAAAGAAAAAATAAAAAGAAAGTTAAAAAAATAAAACTGATAGCATTTGGGCCAATTCTGGTAGCGCAGTTAGAGCCTAGAAGAGGGAAAGTGGCACTTCACTAGCATTTATCATGTTTCCCCCCGTTCTCTTTTTACAAATAAAAACAGCTTCTGTTCTGAAAATAAAAACTTGAGATTTATGACAAACTTCCTGTGTGAATCTTTCCTGTCCAGGTTTCCTTACTAAATTCTTAAATGTCACTGTGACATTTGTCACCATTTTACATATTTGTGTTAACATTATGAGTAAACCTTGGTTATTTCCTTCTAGTGGCATGCTACTCAGGGAGGCAGTGTGGCTTTGGCCTTGACCTGGTGTCTAGCCAGGTTTTCTGTAGGCAGAATTAACTCAGATGCAGCCTGTGAGTGATTTCCCCAGCTTTCCAGAGCTTTCTCTACGATTTCTTTCTAAAAATAACTTACCAGAGGGGGAAAGACTGAGAACTAATTTTTTAATACTTTGCACTTCTCTATTACCCTTGCCCCTTCAGAAGCATGAATCTTTATGTACGAATGAGAACAAAGCCATGTTTTTGTTTTTTTGTTTTTTTTGTTATTATTTTGTGAAGTCTAAGACAGAACATTGAGTCTGAACAAAAATAAAATTATAGTATTTTTTGTTGTTGTTGTTTTTCCTTAGCTCAGAGACAGCCAGCACCTTTCAAACCACTCTATGTTGTTGCCTTATGATGCTCTGGCTGTTCCAAAGTTATAGCATGATCAGAGCCTGGTCACAAGCTTTCTTTGCCTCCAACTTGCTATGCCTTTGGGCTCTCACCTGACCTCCTAGAATGTTTTCATTCTTTATAAAACAGGAGCAATATTACCTACTTTACAAGGCTGTGGTAAGAATTAAATGAGATGACATGTGCAAAAATGGTCCTTTTCCTGAAGACATTTATAATCATAACTAAGGACCAGATGCACGGAATTCATGCACGGCGGGTGGGTCCCTCAGCCCAACCTGCACCCTCTCCAATCTGGGAGCCCTCCGGGGGCCAATCCAGGAGTTTCTGTCTGCCTTTGCAATCATATGAGTGAACTAGTGGCCTAGTGCACAAATTTGTGCACATTAAAAGGGGATTAATTAGAGGAAATATTTTAATATTGCTATTTGCCCTTTCTCTATAATAAAATGCTCA